CCGCCCCCCCCGACCGATGGTGCAATCATACTCGACTTTGGTTGAACTAGAATTTTGATCTAAGTCACCAGATTAGAAACAAAAGAGAAGTCAGACAGCAACCAACTCCATTAGTTCATTTATTTTGTATAAAGTTCATGACCATGGGGCCTCGTGACATTTCTTTTTCTTTCTTCTTTCATGGTTAAAAACTCAGTCTATTAACACTGATGTCATGGAGACTTCCTTTTAGAAAATGAGGTATTTGGTTTACTGTCCCAAACAGTAAAGGTTTAGGCAAACTGCAACCATCGTCTATCGAGTGACAAAATGGCAGGGAGTGCAGTGAGCCTTGGAACAGCCAAGTCCCGGCGGGGGACACCCTGAGAGTTTCATCGTTGCCCAAATGCACCGCCCACCTCACATCTAACGTTCCCAAGGGCACGCCTCCCACTCAGGACTCAGTGAGAGTGAGGAGGTGAGTGACAGGAGGCAGGTGGAGACAGAGCGTCCCCACCGTCCCGTCCCCGCACGGAGCCACGCGGCTCAGGGCGAGTGGGAGGCTGTTGCCCTGTTCTCGGGTTATCCGCGGTGTTGACCGGCGCGGCGGTGGCTGGCGCGGCGGTGGCTGGCGCACGGGTGGAGACGGGCGCGGCAGGAGTGTCACATGAAGAACTGGGCCACCAGGTTGGCCAGGCCCAGGACGATGAGGAGGGCGTGGAAGAGCAGCGAGGGCCACGTCAGGCGGTCCTCTTGGCGGAGGGAGAGGATGTAGGTGAGGGACGGGTAGACGAACACGAAGGCCAGGCCGCAGGCGGCTCCCGAGTACCTGGAGAGGAAGCGCCTGGGTGAAGAGCCATCCTGCGTTTTACCTTTTCTGATTTACAAGAAAGGTGACGACAGCGTAATTCCACCCTCCCCAGTCGGAGGCAGCAGGCCCACTGGATCCACTGTTGCTGACATACACACTGGAGTTCTAATCATTTTACCTGCTAAGTCACTATAAACCACTATTTCCTGTTCGTCTTTACGGCATCTGCTCAACAAAGAGAGCTTTACTCGTCCCGCTAACCCGGGCGACTTCCTCAGGAACATCTGGAGACGGGCTCTCTCGCTTTGATCTTTTATAAACTAACTAGAGGCCCAGTGCATGAAATTAGTGCACTGGAGGGGGGGTCCCTCAGCCCGTCCTGCACCCTCTTGCAGTCCAGGAGCCCTCGGGGGAAGTCCGACTAAACTCGGAGGAGGGAGAGGCTCCCGCTACCACCGCTGCACTCACCGGCCG